CCCCTCCCTCCCATGAATAGGTGCATGTACAGTATACACACTATTCCAGAATTCCAGAATAGGTTAGGTTAAGACAAGGATACGGACCCAGAGCTGGGAACTTTAGATTGGTGGATATCGGGATTAATGCTTGATCCACTCTTTTTCCTAATCTCCAGATTAGATATTGCTTGCACTCCTCATGAATTTAATCTCCAGATTAGTTAACAGATCGGGATTAAGGATATCCCATTCTAAAGTTTTCAGCCTCAGAATATATATATGTAATGTATGTATATTCTGAGTTTTCAGCTCAGGTATCCCAACAAGAAGATTGAAAACATTAATCCAATTGTATTCCATCTATTTCCTTAAATAGAAACTCTGATCTGAATGGTGGATATTTAATGCTTAAACTCCTGGTTTTACTAAACCCAAGAAATTATTTTAAAACGCATTCGATATCCAAGAAAGAAGTTAAAAATTTAGCCAATCAGCGTGTCTTGTTAAGATGTAATCTTTAACTTTTGAAAATTCCGTTTTGATTTCTGGTGTTGATGGTGTCATATCAATTGAACTAAACATTGATTGAACAAACGGAAGTTTTTGATTAATGTTTATTAAGACTAAGGTTCATGACAATAGTCCTAAAATATGTTTTTTAATAATTTCATATTAACATGATTAGATTTATATTTGTTTAAATGCTCTAAAAGCCGGCTTGTGAACAGTTGAATTTAATTCAATCGGATATTAGTTCAATCGATATAGCATATAGTATCTGTAATTGTTATCAAACGTAACTCTTTTATACAGTAGAAATATCCAAAAAGAGGATTATAAGAAGAAAATCAAAAGTGTGTACATTGGATAATCAGATTAAGCGATCGTGATTAAGGATATCTCATTCTAAAGTTTTAGTTCTGGATTAAGAAGAGATATATAATTTATTTATCACTACGGTTGCGCTTTTCAGTCGTCTGATTGCAGTTGCCAGTTTGTATTAATCTATAAAGAGGTATTTAAATAAATACAGAGTACGAAGTAAGGAAGATAAGCTTCTTAAATCTTGAATAAATAAGTTTACTTTAAGAATTTAATTATACTAATCTTTTAGGGCGCTTCGCGCCCATCTTATATTTAAATTGTGAACATGTTCTTTTTGTTTACATTTTAAAACAAAGCAGAAAAAAATTTTGCGGATTAAAAAAAAAATTCACGGATTTTCAAGAATTTAATTTTTTTTACAAAATTAAAAACCTTTTAAAACACATTTTTTTTATCATTCATAAACCTTCCCTGTGGTCACGTGATGTCCCACAAAAATTTTTGGCCCGATCGGTTCAGCCGTTTTGACGTTTATTGGACAAACACCCAAACAGACAAGCCACATTTATAAATAGATAATTCTGATTTCTGTTCTAAAAAACGTTATCCAGAAGGAGGGGGGATAAATCTAACACTTCTACATTTTATACATTTAATATATGCAATAATACAATACATTTTTGCTTCAGAGATAAAAACTTTAGAATGGTGGATTTCGAGATCAATGGAAGATCCTCTCTTTTCATCTATCTTAAGATAAATTTAGTCTTTAGATTACTTCCTAGAGATTAGAAATGCGATATTTAACTTTCGAAAACCCGGTTTTTAATTTTTCCGCATTACAATTTTTAAATAAGAGAGCAAAGTCGTTTGTAATATTTCACCAGTTGTTTCAGTCAGCAGAAGAAACGTATTTTTACAATTCTGAAATAATATGGACATAACAAAAAAAACGAGTACTTTATGCAAACTATAAGTTACATGTATACAAACAGGAGGAGAAAAATAATGAATTTATATCATTGAAAATAATTTCTTAAAATTAATTTTAAAATCTCGAAGGTTTATGCAATTTCTTTAGCTACGGTCGCTTTTATTTAACGTTTCTCATTCCTATATAAGGAAGGAAAAGTGTGTTCCTATGGTACTAGGGTCGTTTTCCGACAACTTAGTAAGTAAGGAACTCGGGATGGAAACGACCCTGGTACCTTGGGAACACACTTTCCTCCCTTATAAAGGAATGATAAATGTTTTTATATCAGAAATCCTTACGATGCATTTGACTTTTGTGACGTGGGAATACAGTAAAAATAAATGGATCTCATTAAAAAAAAAAAAAAAAATAAACTAACGGCCATTGATTGCTACAAAAAGTCCAGTCCAAAGTCCAAAATGATAAAGATACTAAAGCTTTATCAAATTGATTATTTTCTTTTGTTTTATTCATTTTATTCTTTATCTCTCATTTAATTAGTCAGGATGCGACCTTTGGATGTGAAGTTATGTTTTCTTATAATATCATCCAGGAAATTAACAAACACATTAGTATATTATCAAAAATAATAATATCTGTATAAAAGGGAATAAAAAAAAGAGCTGGCGGTGTAAAAGTAGGTCAGTGGAAGAAGACCTTTAAGAACCTAGCATGTCTTAGTATGATATCAAATGTTTTAACAGTGAGACCCATACAAGTGTGGAATAGGAAGGCGACTGTTTAAAGTGAGAACCAGAAAACTGTAGAAAAGGAAGAAGACATTCAAACAATAAAGTAGAAAATTGTTTTACACTCCATAATTGTTGTGTCTCTTATGTTCATTGGATTATTTAAAGTCATAATTTGAGTGTAACTGTCGTCTTTCTATTCCAGAATTTGATTTTCACTTTACCTAAAGTTATGATTTGATTATAGTTTAGCCCAGAACTTTGGAGACATCGAAAGAATTGATAAAATGTCGTCTTCTAAACCAACTGATAATAGAATACTGCAGATATTTAATTTGTTGATTGAATAATTATGTATGGAGCTCATAAGACTGTTTATTTATTTTGACAATTACTGAAATTTAGGTATAATAGTATAAAACCCATTGAAAAGTTGTCAAGACGACATTTTTTAAACCCATTGAGAAATTGTCAAGATGACATTTTTAAATTCTTTTGATTTTTCCAAAGTTCTGGATTAAACTGTAGTTGACTGAATATGAGGATTTTTCTATAGTTTTTACTTGTTTTGTTGAATTCTCAGTGCTGCTGTTGCTGGGCAGACTATAGAAGATTATTTTCCTCCTCTCTCAGATGATTCAACGGTATTAAAATAATGTATTCACATTTAACCCTAAATCTGCTGGAATAGAAAGATACATTGATAAATAGATAAAAGCCTGAATAATTCGGCCGTCGTAAATTTCAGTACATTGAAGACGACTTTTGATTTCAATTTCGATTTCTACCATGCTTTCAAACAGCAACAATACAGTTTACACTACAGTATACACACAAACATGGAAACAAAGAGAAGCTATCAATTAACAGTTCTATTTGTTTACTTGTAAACTTGTAATTTGAAAATAGAAATTTCGTCTTCAGTGTATTAAAAAAACGCCGACCATTGAGCCCGTTCTCTCTATGGATAATGGTCGTGTAGTTCACGTACTTTGGGGGACGATATGTTGGCCGCTAGATGTCTCATACTAAATTCTTTTCTGATAGATATTTCTCCTTAACGACCAATATAGGAGACGTCAAGTTATCGACCAATGTAGTTAATGGAAGGAACGGCCTCTAGTAAATTGTATGTTGTAGGTATACGGACTATGGCCTCTAATAACTCCATTGCTAAATGTGTCTCCAGAATGTAGAACAGCAAGCATTAGGAACTTTAGTCTTCTTTTTCAATGAACAAATTAAACGGAGTTTCCCTCAAAATGTTTGTATTCAGATTCATTTTTTTTATTATTTTAAAATATACAGTAATAACCACAAAACAATGGAATAGGAACTAAGACATTATAGAAATATTTAAGTGTATTTGATGTTGTAACAAAGAACTTAGTAAATCACAAAGGATTTGAGTCTTTGCCACAAACTCAAATGTTCTAATCCTTATGTCTTTGCAACCTGTTGGTGTAAACCTTTGAAATTTCAAACTTCGATTATTTGATCTAACATAATTTACAGTTTGAAATGTCTAAGGTCTACGACATTGGGTTGTAAAGATTTAAGGATTAGAAAAGTTTGTGACTTAATTCCTTTAGTGAATTGCTGTTCTCATTATCCTTTTAAAGTAAAGTTACAACTTGATTCCTATTTCAGAGTTTTCTGGTTATTACTGTATGACTAATATAAACACTCATCAATGGGACTGTCATTGTAATTTCAAGTGACCTTACATCTAAAAAGAGGGATGGGACCGATTCACAATGGCAAAATTAAACTACGCGTTGTCTTAATAAAATGTTTGCCATTTTATATTTTGTAGTTTAAAGTTTTTAATTCTGCCAATCTCATCCTCTAATTTGTCTAAATCAGAAATGCGCAAGTCAGTTTATAAATCAATTTTGAAAGAGAATAGGATGGATATCTCATGCATTTTTAAACAGATAAAGCTTACAAGGGAACATCACTGTGAAACGGATATTCCATTCTATAAATGTAAATTGTGTAGAGTCAGTTGAGTCGGTCACAAACTAGAATTTTCTAAGAACTATATCTTTGCAACCAAATGTCATCTAGGCCTCAGATTTTTAAAACTATGCAATACATTCGGTTAAATCAGATAATCTAAACTTGGAATAGCAAATTTTAATACAAGCTAGCCATGGGAATGGAGAGGGTATCCTCCAAGTTTTAGCCTGATCAGGTTGCATAGATATAGGGATTAGAAAGTTTGAATTTGTGGCAAAGACTTAATTTCTTTCTTCTATACAGTCCTCTAAAGGCTAAGTTTGTCATCGCAGATATACCAACAACATTACCGGGTAATTAAACATTATAGCATTAAATTAAATTTTTTTTAATCAAATTGATTGAAATTTAAAGGGACCGTTCACTTATTTGGGTAATTTCATGGTAAACTAAACAGCCTATTAGCTGTTAATTGGTCCGGTATTATTCTTACTTTTCAAAGACAACTGCAGTGGTCGGAGAAAAAGCCGATTTTTTGTTGAGAATTTGAGCGCAACATTTTGGAACAGTTTTCCCTAGAGAATATCTAAAAATGTCTTGGAATTACGTAGATGAAAAAAAACAAGAAATTTAAATGCAATTCTTAAACAGGATGTCCCACTTAATATGAAAATTGAAAGACGACAATTTAATATCGTCTTTGATCTTTGATAACAATAGGGAAGAGTGGAACAGTAATAAAAGGGTTGCATAACTTTTGAGGAGATACATATTTTTTTATTGTTTCAATTATCCGCTAAATTGCGTGACAAAATGCCATTGTCAAACTATTGCATATGAAGTATAGTTTTATTAGTAAGGGGAGTTTTTTTGCGAAAAATAAAAGTCGCTATTGGTTAATATGCAAGAAAAATGTTGATTAAACTAGCACCATTTATATTTCTAACGTATTTCCGTAACAGATTTACTGGGTTTCTCATAAAGGATGAGACTTTGAGGGTATCCTGGTATCCTGGTATCCTGGTATCTAGGTATCCTAGTATCCAGGTATCCTGGTATCCTGGTATCCTGGTATCCTGGTATCCTGGTATCATAGTATCCTGGTATCCTGGTATCCTGGTATCCTGGTATCCTAGTATCCTGGTATCCTGGTATCCTGGTATCCTGGTATCCTGGTATCCAAGTATCCTGGTATCCTGGTATCCTGGTATCCTGGTATCCAAGTATCCTGGTATAGTTTAAACTGTCTGCTTTTAATATTCATGATTCCCTTTTTCTTTGCTATATCATTATAACGATATTCAAAACAGTAGACCTTTAAATCGTCAGTGTAAAAGTTTTAGGTCGTCTTTACAGTCTCATCCTTTGTGAGTAAGCCTGTATATATTTATAGAATGAAGGAAATGACAATGTTTGATTCCTCCGGAAAGCTTCCTGTGGAAGGGATGTTTTCTGATACAATTCCTCTGGTAACCTTATTATATGTCATTTACATACAGTGATAACTAGACAACTCTGGAATAGGAAGACAACTTTTAGAATCAAGTTATAACTTTAAAAATTCCAATGAGCATGAGACACAGCAATTCCCTTAATTAGTTATTTAATACGTGTCTATAGTAAAACTATTTGATTTGTAACAACACTTAAATATGCTATAATGTCGTCTTTCTATTTCATTGTTTTCTGGTTATCACTGTATGTGTATTTAGTTCTAAATACAAATTAGTGAAATTCATTTGATTAGTAGTGGGGTTGGTATGGGAAAACGCACGTTAGGCTTTTTTCTAATAGTTCTTTGAACTTTCATTTTCTTTAAAATTTTCTTGTTTAAATACAGTAAAAATTCTGGGTTTTAATTTTTACATTATTCAAGCATTTTTATTATTTTTATTATTTTATTAGCTAAAGTATATTTTTATTAGCTAAAGTATATTTTTATTAGCTAAAGTATATTCGCAGATAGGAATTTTTCAAAACAAAACTGCATGATATCATATTCGCTTCTATTATTGTTATTATTTCTAATTTTTGGCAAACATCCTAAGCTTAAGACATAATCCAACATTAGCCGCCCCAACTTTGATTTTTTTAATGGTTTCTTTCTCATCTCCTGTCTCTTAACCCCCCCCCCTCTTTTCCCAATTATCCTATCCCTACCCCCCTCTCCGGTTCGGCTGTTTGAGAGACTCGGCTAACAACAGCCGGCCATTCTTGCTTTTGAAGAATAAAAAAATGATTATAATGTCGCCTTGATGATTATGAATCATTGAATGCCGCTGAATATTATGTAAACAAAAGGATTACTACAAAGCTGTGTAAAAGATTTGTTTAACGAAATAAACTGCAAAAAGTCTTAAATGACTAATACAGTATTATGGAAGAAGACATTGAAAACTATTCACCAACTGTCATGTTTCGTGGGACGCCCTGTATTTTCCCAAGTTATCAAAGGTTTCTGCTCACAGCTTCAGGGAATTGTCCAATTGGACAATTTACCAAAACAACATAAAATTTTTTTTTTTTCAATTGTTAGTTCATCGTTCATTAATTTCACAACAGTATTAATGACATTTTTTGTTCTTATTTTTCTTAATAATAAACAGTGGCCAACCCTAAATACTTTTAGGCAGTTTGTGACCTAGTTGGAGAATCAATACCTGGTTTCAGCTGCAAGGAAATAAAAAAAATGTAAAAAGCATTTTAAAAAATATTCTAAATGTCATGTAATGCCAAGTGTCGTTTTGATACGCAACTTAAAAAGACTTTAGGTTTAGATATAACTTCACGCGGTCCAACATTTGAAGAGTGGTATGACTGATTCACAACAGTACCGTGTAAACCTACGTCTAAGCAAGGATAACACATATAAGTGAAAATTCTGAATCCTGTATTTATATATATAAGAATAAGGAACAACAATATCTATCAAACAAAGGTTTAAAGGGTACCATTGTAAATCAAACATGCCACTCTGAAGGCTTACTTGAAATTAATCACATTCCACATGATAGAAGGAGAAGGTGAAGGTCGAATTTATTCATGGCACAACTTTGTAACCTCATAGCTCCATAGTTTTGTTAGAAGAAAAAAAATGTTGATTACATGTTAAAAATTAAAAAAAAAATGTTAATTTCATGACAGGGTGTTATCATTGAAAACATTTAACATTTCAATATAACGTGAAATGAATTGAGTCTTTGACACAAACTCAAATTATTTCATCCATCTTTGCAACCTGATAGTGTTAACCTTCGATATTTTTTATTCTTAAATAATTCATAGTTTGAAATAACTAAGGTCTGCGACATTGGGTTGCAAAGACAAAGGCATTAGAAAATTAGATTTTGTGGCAATGATTCGATTTGATTTTAATTTGCAGTGGTTTGCAGTTGATTCCAATTAAAAAATCCGTATTACATTTTTTTGATTCGAGGAGAGTATTCTAGCAGGAGTAAATTTGAACATTCCACTTGGATCCGCATTTTCTTATGGAGATTCTGCAACATGTATTAAGGCAAAGGGGAAGCATTGTCTGGCATTGGTCTTACCCAGGTATAGAATTTTATTAAACACAGCGTTGCCCGTGGAAATAAAAAAAAATGGATTTTTAAAAAATACAAATTTTATAATTTTTTTAGCAATGGGTTCCCTCAAAAATGTCAGCCCATTCGGTCCAGCCGTTTGGCCGCTATTGGGAACATATAAGAATGTTTTGTTTTATTATATAGATATTTGGTTATTTCACTATTAACAAAAAGTTACAACCTATCACTTTATTTAAAAAAGAAATTTTGCCAAATACTTCAATAAAACAAAAGTTTCAAGTTAGTGATTTACAGTTTTAAAATGAAAATGTTTAGAGCTACAAAATGTTTTACAGTTTTAAAATGTTAATGTTTAGAGCTACAAAAAAGTGTAAGAGAAGTAGTAAGGTATTAATACAAAGGACATGAAAAATCGATGAGACTTTTTTATCAGTCTAGATCTATATGGTTTAGTTCCTACTTACTTCAGTTAGATAATTGGGTTGATTTTTTTGTTGTGTCTTCATTTAAACTAATTTCTATTCATCTATTCAAAATCCAAACTAAACCTTTATCTTAAAGATAAAACTATGGATGAGATTCAAATATTTTCTGGATCAATTTGGTTTCGTAAATGCCTTTCATGATAAAGTATCATGGTAATTAAGGAAAACGCCTTATTAAGAATAAATCTACAATGATAACCAGAAAACAATGAAATACAACATTATAGCAATACTTAAGTGTAGTTGATGGTATTACAAGGCAAATAGTTTTACAAGACACTTATAAAATTACTTTTTTTGTGAAATGGGTCTGTTTACAATGCACAATTGCTGTTTTTCATGGTTATTGAACTTTTCAGAGTTAAAACTTGATTCTCAAAGTCGTCTTATTATTCCTGAGTTTTCTGGTTATCACTGTACCTTCTACTATTTGAGATGCTACAAAGAGCTAGGTTTGACTGTGACATGCTGAAAGTACTTCTCTAATTTTAGTCTTGAAGACAGCAGTTTAGTCCGCAGTTTTGAAACTATTGCTGAAAATAAAAATGTGAATCTTCTGGCTGAGTTTATTCAAACTGATGCTGTGTCAAGGTATTCAACATTCACATAATTAAGGGGATTGTACATTCACATTATTAAAGGGACTGTACATTCACATAGTTAAAGAGACTGTATTCAACATTCACATAGTTAAAGGGACTGTACATTTACATTATTAAAGGGACTGTACATTCACATAATTAAAGGGACTGTACATTCACATAATTAAAGGGACTGTACATTCACATAATTAAAGAGACTGTATTCAACATTCACATAATTAAAGGGGCTGTACATTTACATTATTAAAGGGACTGTACATTCACATAATTAAAGGGACCTACATTTACATAATTAAAGGGACTGCACATTCACATAATTAAAGGGACTGTACATTCACATAATTAAAGGGACTGTTCACATAATTAAAGGGACTGTACATTCACATAATTAAAGGGACTGCACATTCACATAATTAAAGGGACTGTACATTCACATAATTAAAGGGACTTTACATTCACATTATTAAAGGGACTGTAGGCGTAATTTCAATTGACCCTCGTATTTTATAGCAGCGGGTATATTTAAAAAATTTTGACTGATCAAGGATGTTATTTTTATTAATTTACAAAAACGCTAGTAATTATTAAACGCTTGTAAGCTGTTTATTACTTGAGAAATATTAATATTTACTTTCTAAAAGTCTGTCCTTGATGAATAATCAAAGGTTTCAAGATTACCATTGATATTGCCTTTACAGTCCCTTTAAGTGCTAAATCCGATTATGCCAAAAGAAGATTTTGTTGTGGTATCTCAATGGCCAGACAATCAGAAATATTAAGAATTTAAAGATTACACAAAATGTTAGTTTACATATTTTAAATTCTAAAAGTTCAGACTCTGGACTTTTTCATTCTAATTTTATTCCCATTCATTATATTTTCGGATGTATTTTTATCTTGTAATATAATAAATAAGATAATTTTTCAAATTTCAGAAGTATACTTGCTGCCAACAAAGATTTTTTTAATGCTTTTGCTAACTGTTCAGAATGCCAATCATTAATCAATAAGGTCAATCCATCCTTATCCTCAGCAGGTTTGTTAAAAACATTGTTTTATTAGATTATAACATTTAATTCATTTTTATTCTGTTAAAGCTTTTAATTAAACATATGTTTCATTCAACCAACAGAATGAATACACTTTTTAAAATATTAATAATGCTAACAATGCATGCTAGCACTATGTCGTTTAGTGCAGTTTCCATGCATTGCACTGGTACGTACTACGGTACATAGTTAATTTAAAATCAGTGTTGTAGAACTCAAAGAAAGGAGTGAATCGAAATGAATAACAAGAAGCTAAAACAGCAATCTACCAGGGACGGAACTCGATCGAGGGGTATTTGTTCCCCAAACTAATGATCCCGATTAATTATCTGCGGCTTCCGAACATTCAATACACAAACCGTCACCCAAAATCGATAATAATGAAAATCTCTTTTTTTCCTGAAAATAAATACATTTAATTAACATATTGTGAAAGTAATGTTTATAATGAAAAAATGCTTCCGATCTAATATCGGGAAGACGGGCACAAATTGGATATAAACAGTACTAAAATGACGTTTTTGACTTCTGAAATAAAATGGCAATTGATTTTAAATTTAAATTATTATTTTTTATAAATATTATTCTTTTGTTTAACTTTTTTGAAACTGTATTACTGCACGTGAAGTTGTTTATACTATCTGAGAGGTAAGGTTTGGTTTGGTTCAGGCTCCGAGATAAAATCTAAGTCAAAGACGACTTTGCAATGGAGAACTCATTGTTAAGGGTTAACAAGTGTAGTGTATACTCTAGGAAGTTATGCTTTTATGTTCTGGGCATTTATTCAAGCTCAGACTGGTTGGCCAGTTGGTTTTGGAACTTGCATACCAGAAGAATGTCAATATCAAGATGTTGGGTAATTTATATTTATAACACACACCATGATATGTAAATGAAAACAACAAAAATAAGGATGTACACTATCATCTACTATTTTTAAGGTTAAATTTGAATGGATTTACACAGCTTCAGCTGTTTAATGCTGTAGAATTTGATCCCATGGGTTACACAAGTAACTCTGAATATTTCTGTATGGATGATCAATTCAAGCATGAATGGACTAACCTGTCATTTGCCATAGCAGTTATATTTGGTATACTAGCTGTCTTGATATTATTGGGAACCTTAACTGATATATTGCTAAACTTGATCATGTTTGGAGAAGCCAAAAGTAAACAAAACGATAGCTTCTGGACTAAAGTGTTCTGTTCCTTCTCCCTTTATTCAAACTGGAAAGCAGTGATGTCAACGCATGCAGGGGGACAGGACACCCTGACATGTCTTCACGGTATGAGGTTTATAAGCATGACCTGGGTGGTTCTAGGTCATAGTTTTATATTCACTTCAGTCTACTCTAATGTTAAGAACCCTATTCTATTGGGAGAAATATTTGCTGGCAAGCTTGGACTTGCTTTTGAAGCTGTTCTTATTGCAACTCCATCAGTGGACTCATTCTTTTTATTAAGGAATGTGTTAGACATTTTAATTTATTTTTGAATACCTTGATACCACCAGAGTTTTAACAAGTTTTGGTAAAAAAATGTAAAACATCTTCAATAGCTAACACATGCAACTAGTGGACTTTTGGTTGGCTACTTGACGTTCAAAGAACTAGACAAGTGTGAGGGTAAAATGCCACTGGTCATGTTCTATGTGCACAGATATGTACGATTGACCATTCCTGTAGCGTTTATTTTGGGTTTTGTCATTACTTTCCTGCCAGTTCTAGCGAGCAAAACTAACCAGTTTACATATCATGTAGCACTGCAGCAAGCTGAGTCTTGTACACAACATGGTTGGAGCATTCTGTTGTATCTAAACAACTTCTTTGTGGGTGGAAACGATTGTATTGGTGTGACATGGTATCTCTGTGATGACATGATTTTCTTCTGGATTTCTCCAGTCGTAATCTACCCAATGTGGAACAATAAGAGAGGACAAGCTGTATTCTACTGGTTTGTTTGGTTAGCAGCCTCTACTTTCCCATCAGTTTACCAAACATGGAGGTTCAAGTTCGGAGTAGACGGGAACTATGTGGAAGGAGCAGACTTACAATTTTTGGAGGTTTATGCTAAAACAACCACCTTCTACTTTGCTCCTTGGAACAGGTTCCAACCATACCTTATTGGCATTCTTTTTGGTTACATTCTCCATACTACAAGAGGGAAACAAGTCAAAATTAGTCCAAAGTTAAATATAATTTGCTGGCAAGCTGCATTTCTATCTGCCTTCTCAATTGTCTATGGGCTTTATTCTGAACATGAAAGAGGAAAGCTGACAAATCTAGAATACACTCTTTACAATGGATTTCACCGCATTGGTTGGTCAATGTCCTTAGGTTGGGTAATCTTTTCATGCTCAAAAGGTAATATTTTTTCATGAGTATCAACAATAGATATATTGGATTCTGTCTTTATCAAAATACCTGATTTAATAGCTTTAGTTTATATTTAAAAAAATTCACAATCGATTTAAAATACATGGTTTTTCTTTTTAATAAATTAGAATTAATCTTTTAGGCTATGGTGGTATTGTAAATGATTTCCTATCCTGGAGTTTCTTTCTTCCTTTATCCAGACTATCCTTCATGACTTATCTAATTCACACCATGGTCATCATATTTAACTCATCAAATTTCTAGTAAGTTTATCTTATAAGTAGATATAAAGGACCCTTGTTGAATCAAGTAAAATATATTTACCCCTGAAATAAAACTAATTGAAAAGAAAAAAATCTGAAAAATTCGAAAATTTCTACATTTTTGAAAAAAAATGAAAAAACTGTACTCTGTACACTACGTACACTACATGCTGTACATTGTATACTGTACACTGTATATTTTCCAATTTTATATGATATGTGTGTTATAAAGTCAAAATATGCATATATGTAGATGTATGTGGTATATCCACGGTAAATATGTGGTAAATGAAAAAGTATTTCTTGCCCATGCGTGTATTGATAAGATATGTTTAAATTTTTGAAAACCCCGGTTAAAAACATCTAGAAATATGATGATGATGATGATGATGATGTACAGCATGTAGTCTATATAGAGTACAGAGTACAGTGTACAGCATGTAGTGTAGGTAGTGTACAGAGTACAGAGTACAGTGTACAGCATGTAGTGTCCGTAGTGTACAGAGTACAGTTTTTTCATTTTTTTTTCAAAAATGTAGAGATTTTCGATTTTTTTCAGATTTTTTTCCTTTCAATTAGTTTTATTTTTACATTGGAGCCTTCTCCAAGAAGCGGGCACCACCGTCCACCACTGTCCCCACCTTCTGCAGTCCGCCGCCAAAAAGCTCAGCCAAAAAACCAGACCCTTTCTGTAGCATCAGAGCCTTCTCTAAATATATTTTACAAATTTTTTTCAACATTTTTCAACATTTTTCAAAAATACATTGAAGCCTTCTCCAAAATTTCAGGGGTAATTATATTTTACTTGATCCAATAAGGGTTCTTTATATCTACTCTTATACTAGCTGGGTACCCAGCTTTGCCTGAAAGCGAATCTTTCGCTTAAGAAGTCAATTAACCTAAGACAATTATGAAGTCAAACCTTATAGAAATTTAACGTATAGAAACAGCTACGTATAGCAACAAGGCGTATTTTCCGGGAGAACATTTTTTATATTTTTGAGAAATTAAACATTTTTTTAAAACATTGTAGTTTATCATTATCATTATTATAATTTCTATTTTTTAACATACCCTAGACATTAAAGGAGCAAAATAGTTTAATATGGACATTTGTACTGCTCTCTATTGTGTTTAAGGTCCCCCAGATTTTATTATGTACTGACAACATAAATGAATGATTATATTTCCTACATAAAATTGCGTGTTACTATTTAAAAAAATATTTTATAAAAATGCTATCTACAGTTTTATTTTCAGAAAAAAAAATTCTTAAAAGTATAAAAAAAATCTCCAGTAATGCAAATATGATTTCATAAAATTCCGTTTTACCATTTAAATAAAAGGATTTTGTGAAAATTATATCTACTTTACACTGATTATTTAATTTCTCAAAAACATAAAAAAAAACTTTCTCCCGGAAAATACTCCTTGTTGATATACGTTGGATTTCTTTAAGGTTTGACTTCACAATTGTGAGGTTCAACGGAGTTCAAATTTTTAGGCAAATTGGTCAAGGGGTTTAAACATAAATTTCCCTAGAAGGGTTTGTTTTGGTACCAGTACAAACGTCAGACGTTACAAAGGTCAAACATTACAAACGTCAGAATTACAAACATCGGACTTGTACAAACGTCGGATGGCCAATTTCCCAATTATGTATCTTTGCCTGGCTAAAACATTTGTCTTCAGTTTCAAAGGCAACATCTCTTTGCATTTCAGTTATTACAGTTACAAAAATCATGGAAAGGTTTTACATTAAACTGTTGACATTTATTTTTGCTTTACTCTGGCTGTTGCTGAACCTTTTGCAACACTCTTTACTGCGGAAAAATAAGTGGTTTGATCAAAATGTTAAAAAAATAAGTTCAATTATTTAAATTCCTTATTTTTTAAAGTGCCACTTCAATGACATTGCACTGGTTGCTGTTGGTTGGTTTCTACCTGGGGCACTTGATAATATCTATAGGGATTGCTCTTGTGCTCACCATTACCATTGAATCCCCCTTCATTCGGCTTGAGAAAATACTTCTTGGAGGAGGCAAGCACAGTGGAGCTCATAAGTTACCAGCTAAGAATATTGTTAAATAAAACTGTTAAATGCAAAATAAATAATATTTTATCAATGGTTATGACTTATAATACACACTGTTTGAAATCCAAAACTAAAATAGGACTGTGCACCATTGACCGTAAATCATTCTAAATTTAATTATAGAACAGAATTTTTGTTAACAATAGCATTGATTGGAATATGAAAAAATACTATAAACATTGCCACGTGTAATATTCCATTATGCCTGAAAATTGAGGTAGGTTATATGATTACCATTAATTTTTAATTTTATGTTGAATACAATGGAGTAAACAATGTATGTTGTTTTCTTATTTTTAGAAAATGCATTTCAGTTCTCACAATATAATAACTAAAAAAACAATAATATTAAATAAAAAATAAACATTATTTAAAATTACAAAAATATACATTATACAACTTTTAAAAAAGATTGTTACATGGGATAAAAATTTGATTAAAAAGAGATATTTGCAAATATTCACTTTTTAAAGAATGTTTAAAGACAATTATTATCCCTTAAAATTTGTTTTAACAAACATAACCATATTAATAGAATTACTCTATTCACAAGGTAATAAAGCAGAAGCATGTTCAGAAAAGAAATATTTCATCTCTTCTAGTTGCCATGTAATGCCAATAAACTTTTCTATAATGTTGTTGGGATCATTATAGTAGTTATTGTTAGATCCTCCAAACACAGTTAATTCTCCATTTACATTCTCCATTGTATGTGATTCTCGAGGAAAATTCATTGTGGATATATTTCTCCAGTTGAGAGTTTCCAAGTTTAATACTTCAACACTGTCTAGCGCCTGGTACTGTTTTATAGCGTCCTCCACTTACATAAACTTCACCATTTAGCAGAGCACAAGCATGTCCATATCTGTTGAGATATATGCTTGGAATCCTTGCAACCATGCCAGTAAATATATTGTACTTCTCTACAACTAGATGTTCAGAGTCTAAAACTAAAGAACGAAAAGTTTTGACTTATATTTTAAGTTCATGGTTAAATGCCACTTCTGACTTAATTTAAATCTGTACTTTAACCGTGAGGTTAAATATTTGACCCTGTGGTTAAATATTTAACTCGCCGAAATCGACGAGTTAAAATTTAAACACAGGGTTAAAATCTTGAAATCCCGCAATCACTCTTTGTCTATCATCATTCAGCGATAAGCGGCATTCAACTAATTACGATATATTTAAAAGTAAAAAGCTTGATTTAATAAATTTCACCTTTTAAATTAATCAATGTTTGCACGTAAACCCAAAATACGGTTGTAACTGGAAATATGTTTTGTGTTTCGTCACGTAAATAACTTAAAATTTAAAAAACAGCTGATTACCGAATACCGATACTTACGTAATAATTCTATAAATCCTTTTCTCTGATTGGTTCTGATTGGAAATTCAAATTTAAAATTGAGAAAGTTTAATATTTAAGTAGCTATTCATTATTTTACAGAACTTTTAACCTCGAACTTAAAATTCGCGCATTCTTTAGTTTTAGACTCAGGACTCCTAAAAGAACCTCCAACAACTAATACTATTGGGACAGCGCAGTGTCCTCGCCTTCGATGTGAGAGTGTATATGGAAGTGTTGTCCATGAAGCACCATCAAAAATCTCCACAGATTTTGTAGCAAATTTAGCATTGTTGAATGTGTTAATGTTGGTTGATGTCATCAATCCTCCAGTGACAAGGATATATGAACCAACAAACGTCATGGTGTGAGAAAATCTTGGAATCATCATACTCAGAGCTGTTACCCAATTTCCTCTGTCATTCTTAAAACACTCTGTGGTTCCGTCAGCCCTGTAAGTGTCAAAGCGTCCTCCACAGATGTACAGCTGATTATTCAGAACAGCAGCTCTAAGATTCTTCAATGGTTTAGTATCCCTGACAGCTACATTACAGGATATACTCTCTGTTTTTCCTACCCCAGATCCAAAAGAATAAGAGTTGTTATTTTTCCCACCAAGTAAAACTACAGTCTTGTTGGTGGACACAGGGGTGGTAAACAATCCTGCAAAATGTCTTGCAGATCTTTCTTGTGGAGGGACTTCTTGTGGCTTCTGTTGGGTTACTAGAGGTCATGGTGAGTGAGTATGGAACTCCAAACTAGAAATATATGAGATTAATTTTAATCTATCCTTAACTGATAGAAACTAGAGGTTTTCAGGTAGGTAAGGGCAATTTTCACTTTATTGAAAATTAAATGAAACAATCAATCAATGAAAATAAAACCATAATTTTAAAACGAAAATATCGATTTTTAAAATGAAGCTGCTAAGAATTATAAAAGCAGTGGAAACTGTAGATTACAGGCTGGCATGTCGAAAATATTTACAGGGTGATTAAATTTCATATGAAATTAATCCAGAAAAGTTGTTCTTATGGGTAAGGCAAAGATTGGATTAGTATAAATTAAAAATGTATAGGGGATGGTGGATCGATGTCGTATTTGATGTGGGGGGGGGGGGGGGGCTGCCTTTATTTTTGGTTCAAATCACCAGGGGATGGAAACGTTTTTGACTATGAACGGATCGTCAGAAAAAAAAATTCTTAAAAGTATAAAAAAAATCTCCAGTAATGCAAATATGATTTCATAAAATTCCGTTTTACCATTTAAATAAAAGGATTTACCTTTATTTTTGGTTCAAATCACCAGGGGATGGAAACGTTTTTGACTATGAACGGATCGAGAGGGATGGAACTGTTCTTTGACTAAGAACGCCAAGAATGGAACGGAACAGGATGACGGTTCTTCTACTCAGAATAGAACAAAAACGGGACGGAAGGGAATGAGAACGGAACAATTGAAAAAAAAGGAATGAGAACAGAGCGAACATGCCCGGCCAGTCCTACCTCTAATGACCTAAAATGACCTCCAAAATGAAAATGGTTTAATTATGACTTCATGCATATCAAACAAAAACTAGGCACCCAGGGAAAAGAGTAGCAACAACGATTCCAGTGTTAAACCTTCTAATGACGTCTGAAGACCTCTATTGACCTGAAATGACCCCCAAAGTGAAAATTTTCAACTATGGCATTATGCATATTAATCGAAAGCTAGTAGCAGGGAATAAAGTAGCAGCAACGCATCTAGTGTTTGACCTTCTGATAACCTCTAACGACCTATGACGACCTCTAATGAAGTAGTTAAAACAATTTCTAACTGTCAAGGTCATTTCAGGTCATTATAGGTCATTAGTGTCAAATTTTTTTAATCATTAGGCATGCAGCCAAAAAATTGGAAGATTTGATTCAACCAAAAATGAAGGCAGGGACCCCCCCCCCCCTTACATCAAATGTTTTTGTCAATATGATGAAGACGACTTTTCTATTCAATTTTTTATCCATAGCAAGCGTTTTTTGAATTACAAGTTTACAAGTAAACAAAGAGAAGTTGCTAATTGACAAATATTTTTTGCTCACATGTTTATGTGTCATGGATCCATGCTGTTTGAAACCTTAGTAGAAATCAAAATTGAAATATACGATGACGACTGTATGTAGTTAAACTCAATAACTAACTCTTGTACTTTCAATAGTTCATGTAGAATTAAGAAAATGAAATAAAAAATGCCATGTAATAAATATTACTTTTTGTTCAGTACAGTTTAAAACAGGGGTAATATTTTTTTGATAAAAATGTTTTTTATTAAAAATCTATGACTTTTCTCATAATTTGTTTGAACTAAAAAAAAGGCTAGAAAAAAGGACTTTTGGGTCATTCCTAAGCAAAAGAGACAGTCTCCAGATTAAGTGTCCAACTCAGATTTGGCTTACAGCTTAGTGTTTGGAAAAAAACATATTTCATTTTACAAATATTTTTTGGGACCTTTGGGGTTGGAGTTAATTGAAAATTTGAAAAAACATGTTTCTAAAAATTCTGCAACTTTTCGTTTCAGGTTGCAAATACATTTTTAGCTTTAAAACTGAACTAAAGAATACACTGCTCTTTAAACATAGTGTAACAATGGGCGATTTTGTTGATCTTTTACGATCAGCGATTCAAGGATTTTTTGGATCGCTGAGATCATAGCTACCTAGGGGTATCATGCCCCCTTCCCCCCCCCATCTTTTACCCTACGGTTGGACTTTTGAATCCCATTTTGAATCCTAACGGATTTATTTGAGTTTGCATTTAGATTCTATAAATAACCCAAGCGACGCCGAATTTTCCGTTATCTTGAAGACCCAAGCGTTGGGGAGGGGGCGGACCAGCCCCGGGGTAGCTAGGGTTAAATGCGAACCTAGGGTAGAGCAAATAACGAAGGGTTGTCGTTAACGATCGTTAACGAAGGGTCGTCGATAACGATCGTTAATGAAACGACAAATTTTTATAATTTTATTTTCGATTTTTCGTCGTCGTTTTCATAACGAAACGATCGATTTTCAAAAAAATGAAAACGTTAACATCCCTATCTGCAAGTGTCTAAACTTTACAAATTGTAAGGGAAGAAAAACAACCTGGAAAACACGTTTAAATTTTGATTTTAAAATAATTATTCTTCAGATGTTCCGAGAGAGGAATCTACCCGAATGTATGCATGGACACAACAGGAGTTGCTCAAGAAGTTGAGAAGATTTTTCAGGACAACAAGTCTCCAGGACATGATCGCTATCCTGAGTGTGGATCATGAGTTGTCTGAGGAGGACAAGCTGAAGGTCACCAGGGCCGGAGATCGAGAGATTCCTCTCATACCTTTCCAGGTAGGCTGACATTTTTCAATTAAAATATGGCAGATTTATATCTAGAAATATTAAAAATAGCTAATGTTATTTTCTTTTAATTAAAATGGTGGACTAATTTCTTGGAAAACTTCATACTGCAAAGATTTNATTTTGAATCCTAACGGATTTATTTGAGTTTGCATTTAGATTCTATAAATAACCCAAGCGACGCTGAATTTTCCGTTATCTTGAAGACCCAAGCGTTGGGGAGGGGGCGGACCAGCCCCGGGGTAGCTAGGGTTAAATGCGAACCTAGGGTAGAGCAAAATCCAGGGAAAAGAGGCAGTTGATCGTCAGCTCCCTTT